TTGGTTCATGTCTGAGAAATGGCAGATGACATGCAATGTAAGGAAACAAAATTTACACAAAATCAAACAAAATTTGCAACATCTACAGTTAAAATCAGTTTCAAATTTTAGCTCCTCTGTTTGCAATGATATTTTCAATTAGAAAAATGAAGCAAACTTAAGAGAGGGCCACCTGAGATACATATATGTATAATATCAAAGCAATTGGACTTGCGAATTTCAACAAGAAGTCAAAAATATCACTTTTTACCAAAAATATTCATCTAAATTGGAGAATTATTAAAGATATCATCACGAAATGGACAAATTTAAGAGAGGTAGACCTCCAAGGTACATACGTGTAAGAATTTGAAAAAGTTGATGGACAATCACTAATATGATAAGCTCCACTCAACAAAGTCAACAACATCAAAAGAAATCAGATAAAATAGAGAATTGATTGAAACCAAACTGACTGACAGAATATCATATAAGCTGCAAATGATATCATATCCACCTGACATATTAAATTAATGCAGCATAGAAGTAATGCTATAATAATGCTCTGAATAAACAAATTAGACAACTTCATGACTGGACATCCCCACAGTGAATACGGTACCCCAATTTTGAAATGCATGAAAAAACAAAAAAAATAGAATATATATAGAGGGCAGCCTAAAAGCAGACACTCCAAAGACATTATAGCATATCTGTGACAAATATGGTATGCAACACAAATGTCAAGTAGATATGAAATATAATAATTTATTATTCATATTACACAAGCTCAATATTTATTGAAACAGTAAAGTACAACAAAGCTAAATTACCTTAATTAATGCAATGCTTTCTCCAGAACTTACATCTCGTACATCTTCAGTTTCTACTTCAGTGGCCTCAGCCGGTATATCTACAGAATGTACATCTTCAGTTTCTACTTCAGTGATGTCAGTCGGTATATCTACAGGACGTACATCTTCAGTTTCTACTTCAGTGATGTCAGTTGGTATATCCACAGGACGTACATCTTCAGTTTCTACTTCAGTGGTGTCAGACGGTATATCTACAGAACGTACATCTTCAGTTTCTACTTCAGTGGTATCAGTCGGTATATCCACAGAATCTTTTGTCTCTTCATCTGGAAATAAAATAAAAGTGTGTGAGGTAAAATAATTGAATGAGTATTATTTAATATTTTATTAGTTTATATGTATTTGGATATTTCTCACTATTTATTTGAATGCCATTTCAAATTTAAAAATTTAAAAGAAGAAAATCATTGTCAATGACAGTTCCCCTGTCCAGTTTTTAGTTAGTGTCAATTAAAAACAATGACAGACTTTGAGTACAGTTTAAAGTTGCAGGAGTATTCAGCATGTTAATGTGTTACCCACCAAGTACAGAACTTTCGTGAACAAAATATAAGTATGAAAATAAAACATACAAGCTAAAATATATATTTAATATATTTATATGTTATTTTTCCAATGAAATTTTCATTACGAGGTGAAATGTTATGTCTTTCATTTTAGTTGAAATTCAAGACTATAGCATAGGAAATTAAATTGTTCGACTGCAGGGAATACAACTAACTTGACTTGCACTGTGATTTATAAGAATTTTAAACAATAAATTACACTACTAACAAACACGTTAATTTTGTCATGTTGTATATACCTTATGAAAGCTTATCTTGCCAGCTTTTCAACAGTATGAAACATCTTTTTGTGGTTGCTAGAAGTGTCGAAAATGGGTTAAAAATGTCTGTTTTTGGGTAAATTGTGTTTAAAACTATTATTTAACTTCTGTACGCATAGGTTTATCGAATGGCAGTTTGACTTGATTAAAAAATATGTTCACCGGGATTATAGAACAAAAGTTTGCAGTATTTCCATTGAATAGTTTTTTCACAATGCCTTCTGAAAGTTTCACACTTTTTAATTAAACTGCCGATTGTCAATGTGATTACTTTTTTTTTCTTCTCAAAACAATAAATCCACATGACGCACTTTGAATGTGCCAGACCAGAACCATAGTTCCTGAAAATTTCAAAGGAAATGACAAAATAG